GAGGGTGGGGGAGGGGGGGGTCACAGTGTCAGAGTAAAGTTTATATCTTCATCACCATGACAACGTTCACCCACCAGCTCTGCTTTGTGTTCGTCTCCCACCAGGAGGACGACCTCAGCGATGACGAGCTCCCTCCAGACGTCGACCTCAGTGACCCCTTCTTCGCCGAGGAGCTCGGCGCCACAGGTGATCAATACTGTCAATCGATGAGGATTGATTGGCCACTCTGGTGTTTGACGGTGTCAACAGTGACGGTGTTGTCTGATGTGTCTGCAGATCCAAAGAAGAAACAGAAGGGAAAGAAGAAGAAGCAGGAGGAAGAGGAGCGGACGGCTGAGGAGGAAGAGGAACTGGAGAGGCAAAAGGTCAGAGGTCGATCTCAGCTCATCATGAAAATCACTGAACCTGAGCTCAGCACATCTCACTGTGTGTGTGTGTGTGTGTGTGTGTGTGTGTGTGTGTGTGTGTGTGTGTGTGCGTGTGTGTGCGTGTGTGTGCGTGTGTGTGCGTGTGTGTGCGTGTGTGTGCGTGTGTGTGTGTGCAGGCTGAGATGGCGCTGCTGATGGAGGACGACGCTGGCGACGCCAAACACAAACACTTTAACTACGACAAGATCGTGGAGCAGCAGAACCTGAGCAAGAAGAAGAGGAAGAAGCTGCTGAAGAAGGGGGCGGAGCCTGCGGAGGACGACCAATTCCAGGTGAGACCTGTCGTTAACCACTCAGAGGTTCTTCAGACAGAGTCTCCAGACTTTAGTTTCAGCCTCTGGAGGAAGTGACTACAACGACCTCCTTCATGGATGGCGTGTGTCAGTCTGACGTGTGTTTGTTAATCTGGATGATCAAGATCCGACTTTTCACAATAAAATACTTGTGACAGTTTTTATAAAAGTGACACCAGCAGAAAGTTAAAGTGTTCATGACCATGAATGTGTAAAACCTTCATAACAAACCACTTCCTGTCTGTGTGCGTCCAGGTGGACGTTCAAGACCCTCGTTTCCAGGCCATGTTCACCTCCCACCTGTTCAACCTGGACCCCTCCCACCCCAGCTACAAGAAGACTAAAGCCACTCAGAGCCTCCTGGCCGAGAAGCAGCGCAGACGGGAGGAGGAGCGGCGGCAGAAGGACGACGTCCTCGCCGCTCGGGCGACCGAGTCCGCCGCTGGCGCCACACGGGAAAATGACTCTGACGCTCCGGCGGCGAAGAAGCCGATGGACCCCGGCCTGTCTCTGCTCGTCAAGTCCATCAAGAGCAAAACGGAGCAGTTTCAGGCTCGGAAGAAACAGAAGCTCGTGTAGCTTCGGACTGAGACCTTATCCTGACGACGCAGGATCAACTTCCTGTTTGTTTTTAACCATGGACATGAAGAATCAGGTACACGAGTGAAAACTTCAGATCCTGTTGAAACGTTTCATGTCACTGATGCTGCAGAGGAAGTCAGTCAGGAAGAGAAACGCTCCAGTCGTTCATGAGTCGTCATAGCAACAGATTAAAACGGTGACAACTGTTGTAAGGGGCACTTTACTGTGTGTCCCCTTAATGAGCGGAACATCGAGACTCATGACCTTTAACAGACTGACGCAGACAGAAAGACGTGACGTGTTTATTCAGACTTTAACACAAAGACTTTTTCTTATATTGTCATTCATGATTACAGCAGCTCCAGTGACGTGTTAGAATAATAAACTATTAGTCTGTTATTAAGTTTGTCCTCACACACTTACATTAAGTCAAGCTCAGTATCTTCACTCATGGATTCCTGATCAATGCAGCTAATTATCAAAAACACCATTTGATAATTAGCTGCATTAATTACAGAGCTGCAGATACTGAGTGTCACTGCGGCGGCTGCTTCCTGTCATATTAAAGGTAAAGTTGTGGTTGTTAGACGTGGGCTGGTGTGAGGTCGTCACGTTCAGTCAGCAGATTCAGGTAGGACAGGTACACTCAGAGTGATGAGCTGCTGTGGGCGGGGCCAGCAGAAAACCCCTGTGTTAGACACTTTTAAAAGACATCTGTTGATACAGGGGAGGGGGAGGAGCCACATGTGGAAAAAATATATATAGGAAAAATTCAGTTTTCATCCTAATACACAAACCCTGAAAGGCAAGTAAAACAACAGGTGTTTTCTGCTGGCCCCGCCCACTGCAGCTCATCACTCTGAGTGCACCTGTCCTACCTGAATCTGCTGCAGGAAACACACTGACCGCACATGACGACCTCACACCAGCCCACGTCTCATAACCACAACTGTCACTTTAAGCAGCGTGCTCCTGTCTCTGTGTAAACCTGTTACTGTAGAACAGCTCTGCTAACTTTCCTGTAGCTGTTTCACAATAAAAGCCTCTCAGTGTTTACCTGTGGAAAGCTTTTAATCCTGTTTGTTTTCTCACTGAGGTCACAGCAGGACGGAGGCGTCTGCTCTCAGACATTTAAACGCTGCAGGACAGTCATGATCCTAATCAATTAATCAGCTGATTAGTTCCTCTATAAGAAAGTGAAAATGTTTTTATTTCAGGTTTTATTCAAGCAACGTTCCAAAGTTCAAACTGATTAATTATCATCTCATCAATTAGTCCCTGCGGCTCTGATCTCGTTTAGTCACACCTGAGCGAAGTGTTAGAGTAACTTTCAGCAGGTCAATCAATCACAGTCCCACGGTCTTGATGAGCAGTCGGCTCCTACGGCCCCGGGTATTCGAAGACGGCGGCGGCTCCCATCCCGGTCCCGATGCACATGGACACGACGCCGTACGCCCTGCGGTCAGAACAGGAGAGAGCGACGCTGAGAGAACCGGTCTGGACTCGCTTCAATCAAGATCTTTGTTTCAGTGACACCTGACGAGACACAAACCTCCTGCCTCTGCGCCTGAGCTCGTTGAGCAGCGTCACCACCTGTCGGGCTCCGGTGCAGCCCAGAGGGTGACCCAGGGCGATGGCGCCTCCGTTAGGGTTCACCTTCTCCAGCGGGATCCCCAGCTTCTCCACGCAGTACACGGCCTGAGCAGCAGAGAAGAAGAACACTGAGCTCAGTTTCACAATGTCGCGACGTAACTGACGCCAGCGAGAGGAACCTGCAGCGAGCAGCTCACCTGACTGGCAAAGGCCTCGTTGATCTCAAACACGTCGATGTCGGCCACCGTCAGTCCTGACAGGAAACAACAACCAGACTGAAACAGACGCTCGACAGTGAGCGAACAGCTGACGCCGTTTCTGATGAAACTATCAGAGGGATCAGTCCGACCTCCAGATCTGTCACTGATCTCAGAAGAAGAGGAAGAAGAGGAAGGGAAGAAGAGGAAGGGAAGAAGAAGAGGAAGAGGAAAAGACGAAGGGAAGAGGAAAAGAGGAAGGGAAGAAGAAGAAGAGGAAGGGAAGAAGAGGAAGAGGAAAAGAGGAAGGGAAGAAGAAGAAGAGGGAGAGGAAAAGAGGAAGGGAAGAAGAAGAAGAGGAAGAGGAAAAGAGGAAGGGAAGAAGAGGAAGAGGAAAAGAGGAAGGTAAGAAGAAGAAGGGAAGAGGAAAAGAGGAAGGGAAGAAGAAGAAGGGAAGAGGAAAAGAGGAAGGGAAGAAGGGAAGAGGAAAAGAGGAAGGGAAGAAGAAGAAGAGGAAGAGGAAGGGAAGAAGAAGAAGAGGAAGAGGAAAAGAGGAAGGGAAGAAGAAGTATTCAGGATTCATGTCAAACGTGTCAGAGTCTCACCAGCTCGCTCCAGAGCTGCAGGGATGGCGAACGCCGGTCCAATCCCCATGACATCAGGAGGAACCCCCACCACCGCACTGGCCCTCAGGACCCCCAGCACCGGCAGACCCAGAGCCTCCACCGCTGACCTGCGACCAATCAGCACGGCCGCTGCTCCGTCACTCACTTGGCTGGAGTTACCTGACAACAGAGCGTGCGTGTGTGTGTGTGTGTTCAGGTGTGAGGTTCATCGTCCACCTGCGGGTCCAGCGGCGCTGACTCACCTGCCGTGGTGCTGCCGTCAGGTTTGAAGGCTGGACGCAGTTTCCCGAGTCCGTCCAGACTGGTCCCAGGTCTGACGCCGTCGTCTCTCCGCACCGTCACCTCTCGCTCTTTACCGCCATCGTCCACGAGCTTGGTGATGACGGGGACGATCTCCTGGTCGAACAGTCCCGACGCCTGAGCCCGAGCCGCTCTGTGAGGGGGCGGAGTCTAATATCAGACTTGAATTATCTATTAGATTATTTCCAGATAATGTTTTAAAAAGATGAAATTTCTACCAAGTTTCATTAAAACTTTCCTGTTTTTAACAAAAGCCAAATGAAACAAGCTCCAGTCAAACAGCTGCATCATTAATTAAGATCATTAAAACAGCTGGATTACTTCTGCTGAGAGCTGAGAGCGAAGGCGTCCTGCTTCTCTCTGGACACGCCAAACCTCTCCGCAACGTTCTCTGAGGTGATGCTGCACGCACACACACGCGCACACACACACACGCACACAACACACACACACACACACACACACACACACACACACAGTGTTGAATAATGTGTTTTTGCAGATCTTTATGATGTCACAGTGAAGTTGACCTTTGACCTCAGATTTTTTTTTAAATGTGATAATTAGTGGATGAATTCTTGAGTTGTGAAAGTGGTCACTGTGACCTTGACCTCTGACCTTTAGCCACTAAAATCTAATCAGGTCGTCCTTGAGTCCAAGTGAACGTTTGTGCCAAATGTGAAGCAGTTCCTTCAAAACGACCCAAAACAAAATGGCTGCCGCTCTGACTGGCGCCAGCGTGGAGGAATAAAATTGAGGTTGTTTAAATCATAAATCTGTAGTTGTGATTAATTCATTACCTTTTCTTGTCCAAGTGTAATATTTTCATTTTGGTTTGAAGGTCACAGTGAACTCTGATATGATCAGTTGTTATAGTTGTGGCTGTGGGATTATGATTGATTAGTTCACATCCAGCTGTTGATTGGTTGTGATGGATTAGTAAAACAGCAGAAGCAGCTCTCACCCCATGGGGATGATGCAGTCTCTAGCCTTGTCGTTGTCCATCAGCCTGGAGCTCAGGTCTCCAGGGTTTCCTACCGAACGCAGAGACATGCTCTCCACACTGTAACACACACACACACACACACACACACACACACAGTAAATGCACCAGGTGTGCTCTTAAAGTGACAGTACCTGATTACTAATTAACCTGTTCTATACATGAAATATAACCTTAAGTCAATTTTAATAAAAACATTATGATTCATTAACTGTCACTTTTCTTCCAGGACACTAATCATCGTCTCAGACACCAACTGTGTTGTTCATGTGACGCACCCGCAGGCCAGGCCCAGGTCGATGCATTCACTCCTGATGGCTCCTGCACAGACACAGGTGAACCAGGTCACACAGGTGAACCAGGTCACAGGTGAATCAACAGCAGGTGTATTTGTGTGAAGCTTCAGTTTTTACCTGCGATGTTGAACAGAGCCTGAAGCCCTGATGAGCACTGTCTGTTCACCGTGTAGACTGGGACGGTGTCTGGAAACCCACTGAGGAGGGGGAGGAGAGGGGGGAGGAGGAGGGGAGGAGGGGAGGGGAGGAGAGGGGAGGGGGAGGAGGGGAGGAGGAGGGGAGGGGAGGAGGAGGAGGGGAGGGAGAGTGGGAGACAGGAGTCAGTGATTGTGGTGGAAAAGTGTTTTTCTCCTGAAGCTTCAGACTGAGAGAAAAGTTCTTCAGTCTCTGAGCAGCTTCATGATCAGAGTGAGGAGAGGAGCTTCACTGCTTCCTCTCTCATTTCCTTTAGGAAACACTGGGAGGAGGAGGAGGACGAGGAAGGGGAGGCAGGAGAGGAGGAGGAGGAGGAGAGGGGAGGAGAGGAGGAGGAGGAGGAGGGAGGAGAGGGGAAGAGGAGGGGGAGGGAGAGAGGCAGAGGGGAGCGAGGAAGGGGAGGAGGAAGAGGAAGGAGGCAGGAGGAGGAGGAGGGAGGGGAGAGGAGAGGAGTGGAGGGGGGGAGGAGGAGGAAGAGAAGAGGAAGGAGGGGAGGAGGAGGGGAGGAGGAGGGGAGGCAGGAGGAAGAGGAGGAGGAGAGAGAAGGAAGGAGGAGAAGAGAGAGAGGAGGAGGAGAGGGAGAGGAGAGGAGGAGGGATGAGGAGGGCAGGGGGGAGATGGGAGTGAGGGAGGACGGTAGGAAAGAGGAAGAGGGAGGAAGGGAGGAGGAGGGGAGAGGGGAGGAGAGGAGGAGGGGAGGGGAGGAGAGGAGGAGGGGAGGAAGAGGGAAGGGAGGAAGAGGAAAGGAGGAGGAGGAGCGAGGAGGGGAAGAGGAAGAGGAGGAGGAGATGGAGGAGGAAAGAGAGGAAGTAGGAGGAGGAGAGGAGGAAGGAGGAGGAGGAGGAGGAGGAGGAAGAAGAGGAAGAGGAGGAGGAGGAGGAGGAGGAGGAGGAAGAAGAGGAGGAGGTTAAACAGCAGATTATTGGATCATTTTCAGATCTTCGGCAGTGATCTGAGTGTGTGAATGACTGAGGGTCAGTCTGACCTCTGACCTGAGGAAGTGAGCCACTCTGGCCATCAGAGCCCCGGCTCCAGGCTGCAGCACGTTACCTGCAGACAGGTGAACACAGGTCAACACGCAGACCATTTAAATCAACAGTCAGAGGGGGGGGGGCTAGTCTCACCCACACAGACGTCCCCCAGCTCGGCGGGTGACAGTCCAACATCTGTCAGCACAGCTGTCATCGCTGCACTCAGCAGCTCGTCAGGTGTGGTGTCCTGGAAGACGTCATCAGTTAGTGTCGGCACGGGTGAACAGGTGAACAGGTGAACAGGTGATGAGGTTCGACAGTTACCTTGAAAGATCCTCTCTTCGCTCTCCCGATAGCGGTCCTCAGTCCGTGAACCACCACCACGTCGTCCGGACCGCTGCTCGCTGCAGATCCGGATCCGGAGCCACATTCTGACCTCCATAAATCCCGCCTGTGGTCGGAGGAAGTGGAGGGAGACAGGTGACCTGAGATTATCTTCAGCCTGTGCATTGCGACGATGAAACACCTGAGTTCAGTCCGTACGACTGGAGCCACTTCCTGCTTCAGGACGGGGAGAGGAGAGGGACAATTAGAACGCGAAGGGGGCGAGTGTTCGTCTTCTTCTTCTCCTTCTTTTAAAACACCTGTTTCACTTCATTTCAGTTGAACAGGCCTGAAACCAAAGGCTTTAAAACAAGTGACACGAGTTCAACTTTACTCAGAAGCGTTGATTGACAGCTGATCAGGACCAGAGGGCGAGAACACGTGACCTCCGTCACTGAGTTTAAAGAGCTTCATGGGCATTTTTATTGATTTATTTTCTTATTGTTTTATTTATTTGATATACTACTATTGTATTTATGTTGTTATTTTTCTTGTTCTCAAAGCTGATGTACTACAGTTGTTATTAAAGAGGTTAAAACCTTTCTGTAGTCCTTTCTCTAAAGATCCTTACACCTTTTAAAAAACAAAAAACAAAAATTGTGATGCTATAACTACAGGAAGTACTTTTACTGTGAAACTGTAACTACAGGAAATACGTTTGTAACTACAGGAAGTACATTTACTGCAGGTACTCTAAATACATGAAATGCTTTTACTGTGAAACTTACTAAAGGAAGTACTTGTGCTGTGATACTGTGAGTACAAGAAGTACATTTACTATGATAAAGTAACTAAAAGGAAATACTTTTACTGTGATAATGTAACTACAGGAAGTACTTTTACTGTGATACGGAAACTACAGGAAATGCTTTTGCTTTGACTCTGTACTCTTGTATTGATGGTATATTTTTTCCCTGTTGTAGTGGTACTTTAACAAAAGTATAAAAAAAATCTAAATAGTATAGCAAGCCATGAAAAGTTAATAAAAAAGTTAATATTATATTAAGCCATGAAAAATTATTAAAATGTCATAGTATAGGTATTTCCAAGTCCGCCACTTTCTTCAGTGTCATGACCCCAACTTTCCACACGTCTTCACTCTCTGGTTTAGATGATCTGTTAGAAATTCCTTTCAACTCAAAAAGACTAATTTTAAGAATCAGTGACTGTATAACCTCTTTTAAAACAACAACCCTTGCAAAGATCAGGGCGGACTGGGTGGATGAGCTGGGGGAAGACTTGGAAGAGGACACTTGGAGCAGCCCTCTACAAAGAGTGAATGACAGTACTTCCTGTGGGAAACTAAGTATAATACAATTCAAGGTTTTACATTGCACTCACTATTCCAAAGCAAGACTGGCTAAAATATACCCTAACACAGATGCAAGCTGCGACAGGTGTCGAAACATTCCTGCCAACTTAACCCATATGTTTTGGTCATGCCCAGCCCTGACAACTTACTGGTCTGTGATCTTTAAAACACTATCAGAGGTACTGCAGCATCGGCCATATTTGGCTTCACAGATAGAAGACATACTGCAATAAGGAAAAGACATAAAAGCATCATCGCTTTCACAACACTGCTAGCACGCAGAAGAATATTACTATATTAGAAATCTAAAAATCCTCCTAATGTGTCTTTGTGCCTGAGTGACTTGATGCACTTCATACAGTTAGAGAAGGCAAAATACACACTCAGGGGGTCCAGGGACAAAGTCTTCTCTATCTGGGATCCTGTGTTGACATACTTAAGTGGACTTAAAACCATGCCTACTTAATACCACATAACAACCTTTTTCCTTTTATGATAATTTGTTCATGCAAACCATAGTAAACAGTGTACAGCTTCAATAATGATAAACCTATGTATATGTTTTCTCTTCTCATCTGGTTGGGTGTCCTACATGTTCCGGATGGGTGGGATGGATGGGCGGCTGAGTCATTACTTGTGTATATACGACAAAGGAAACAAGGGTAGAAAATAAAAATGAAAATATTGTGTGAGCATTGTTCCAAGGATTTTTCCTATGTTTTATTCTTGTGTACATACCTTGTATCAATGATGCTCAATAAAAACATATTGCAAAAAAAAAAAAAAAAAAACGTCATAGTATAGTAAGGCATAAAAAAAAAAAAAAACGTCATAGTAAAGTAAGGCATAAAAAATAATAGTATAGTAAGGCATAAAAAGTCATAAAAACGACATAGTATATTATGACATAAAAAAAAAAACGTCATAGTATAGTAAGTCATGAAAAGTCATAGTATAGTAAGGCATGAAAAGTCATATTTTAGAAAGGCATAAAAAGTCATAAAAGTGACATAGTATAGTAAGGCATAAAAAGT